TCTAGAGGCATGCCTTTTCTTATTATCTTTTGTCATTAATGTTTTACACCAAAATGCACGTCATTTGATGTTATGCAAATTCTTTGAGAAAATTTTCTTTATATGTATATACATGTACATACTGTATACTTCTATGGTACTTATTACGTCGTTACATAAGAAAATGTATAATAATCCTATACTATTCGATGTAGTATATTCAATTCCCTATTCAAAATAGCGTTATATGAAAATTAATTCATCGTTCGAGCGATACCGATACTCAATACCGATACACAAACAACTGATTACTTAAGGTGAACATTAATCGAATACATTATATACCGTTATATACCAAACTCTCTCTTTCCATTGGAAAACTTCCTTCGTAATTTCATTTTTTAAGAGATATATTGGATATTAAAAAATAGATTTTATGCAATGATGCAAATTTTAATTAAAAAAGAAATTAGAATGTTATTTAAACTATTCTATTTCAGCTTTTTATGATATTTTAATGCGTATACATTACATTACAGATTAAAAAGTCTAAATGAATTTAGATTTTGAATAAATTACTTTTAGTTCTGAAAATAGGTTCAGAAATAGAATAATAAACTAACACTAAAGAATATACTGATCGCGTTAGCTTATAAATAAATTAATCTCAAATCGGTTTGCTATTTAAATATTGCGGTATAATCGCAACATGATATCTAGAGTAGAATAAACAAAAAATAAATAAATAACATCGTGTGCGATAAATCGTATATTATAATTTAATGAGAAAAAAAATGACAAGATAAAGAAAAAACTTTTAATTATAAGCTGTCCAAATCATACAGAATCAGTGAGAAAGGCAATAAAGCTATTGAACTGAAAATATGCTAAAGTAGATTTCCTTGCATTAGAGTATTATCAGAATTCCAAATATTAATTATGAATACTTAGGATAGAATTATACATTGATACATAGCTACTAGTTTATAGTAGCACAATGTTACAGACTAATGATAACGATCATAAACTTCGTTAATATCGTACTTATATGTATGTTGAACAGAAATGAACTGTTTCTCACTCGTGTTATGGTTGTACAATAATCGCGGACCGAGTGCTGGTAGCATATCCATTTTTTAAAATCCTTACAAGCTTAAACACAATAATTATATATACTGTAGTTGCAATTATTTCGATTCGAAATAACTACACATTTGAACAAGTGAAGTTGACGAGTCGAATTCGAAAAAAAAATGAATCGTATTAAAAAAGTTATTTTATGACATACCAAAGATTTACTTTTCACATCTTGAAATTTGTTAATCTATACTTAAATTAGTGACAGAAATTACCTTAAACTGTTATATATATGAATTCAGAATTAACTAAATAAGTTGTAGAATTTTGAATCATATTTCTTTATTAATTCTGTCGAGAAAAGGCATGCTGTGATACATGTTCATTGAATATTTCGAAGCAAACACAAAATTATCTACATCTAAAAATGAAATAAAAGATAATCTATGAACGATTTTTCTACTTTCGTCACAATGAAAATTATAATTAATGTCATTAGATAAATATAACAATGAAATACAGTTATGCCACATATACATATGAATATAAAATTACAAAACATGAGACATTTCTCTTGTTTTCGAAGGTCTAAAATAATGTGTACGTGTTTAAAGTGTTTTAAAAAGAAAACACTCTCTCGTACCAAAAAATCAATTTCACTATAATTCATTTACACGTAACGATATATAAATAAATAAATAACTCGTTTCTAAAGCTGTAATATTATGCATATATAAATATACATATACATATATGAACGGCAAATCTTTATGCGAGGACCTATTCCGCACTTACCATGACTTTGATAAAAAAATCAGTTATGATTGCATATATAGTTTCAAGTCAATGATATGATATTAAATTCACTGAGTATTGCAACATTTATAGAGCCTTAAAGAAAGATGAGAAAAGAAAAAATTGGAACAGTCCAACAAAGTGATCAGAATAACGATTTGTAAAATAAGTTCACTGCCACTTAAACGACTTGTGCTCCATAGAGAGCACCAATATTCCAAATGTGAATGTGTACAGTTATGTGAAAAGTACTTATATAATTATATTTAAATAATAATAATTAGAGTTACGTAAAACTAATAGCATGTAATAACATTAAGAATGGTATACATATGTAGGATACAGAAAAAAACCATCGATTGCAAAACTATTATATTCCAAATAAGAAAAATTTATGTCTGTTCATTTTTATATTATATGTAAATCTTGACACAAAAAATAAGTATTTTGTCTCGTAGAAATTTTACTTTTTATTGATATAATTCTTTTTAACATTTATTTTATGAAGAAGACTGTACTTAATTTATATTATATTTTAGTTACAATATGTTACAAGTATTCAATGAAATAAAAATTAAAATTTAATTTAAGAAAACTTTATATTTTTAAAATTTACGAACAATTTATTATCTTTCGAATTTGTTAAAATTATTTATATATTAATTTTGTTTATCAAGTTTTATTTTAATTTTTTTTTAAAAAGAAATCATTTCATATTTTTTTCATTTTGTTTTTTAATTTATGCAATTTTAAGTTTGTATTAGTAAAAAATAAACGCAATGTATATTGCAAACATGGTTTTATTTGCAATTGTATATATGTGTAGCAATTGTCTATATTTTAATTACTTATGATTAATGTATTTAAGCTGAACAGATAAATTTAAGTGGAAGATCATACACACATCTTTTAAAATCTATAAATAAAAATATTTACTAAGTAATATCATTGTTCTTTTATTTATTTAAACAGGAAAAGGTATAAATATTTATCATATTTTTTTCATAGATTTTATGAATTTCCATTTTTATAGATTTTATATGATAGATATTTAAAATACATTTTTTAAAAAAATGAAAGTATATTATTTAATATTATTTTTACAATTTATAAAAATTTTCTATAAATACTTATGGTTTACATTCTTGATGATAGGGTTCCAAAGTTCGAAAATCTCTCCATGTTGGAGGTAAAGCACTATGCAAATGTAAACCACAACGCTTACATGGATCACTAAATAAGTTATTTAAACTATAAAACCAAGTCTATAAAATAAAAAAATATATAATCAGTTAAATCTTTAACATATGATGTATATTCTATGATGTATATTATTCAAAATGTTCATGCTTCCTTACCATAAATGATCTAACAGCTAATTCAGGTAATGTAGGAGAATAAAAATGTAACATTGCAGCATGAGCATTTTCTGTTACTTTTCGGAAAACTTTATGTCTAGATTCTGTCCATAAATCCATAGTTTCTCCATAACCTTTAACTACTACCCATTCAATCATTAAACCTTTAAATGCTATAACTCCTTTCAAAACATGTCCTAGTGTAACATGTAATACTGCATTTGATGCAAATGGTCGAGATACAGATACTGTCATATCACTAAAAAGTCTATCAAATGTGGCTATTAAAGAATCTACTTGCCTACAAAAAAAATATATATTAATAATAAGTAACTTATTATTATATTGATTCATACATATACATTTCTAATATTATAATAATATATATACAACTTACTGTTGAGGAACATTATGATTACTTGTTTGAATTCTACCTCTTTTTGCTCTGCTAGTTGTATTATATGATCTTTTTAAAGAATTTTGACTAAGTATTGATTGAGCAACATTGCTATATTCATGGACTTTATCTGTCCATTTATAACTATTAACTAATGTACTATATAATGCTTGTCTTTCTTGTGTTGTTTCTTGACTAAGATATGTAGTACTTGCTAAATGAAATGCTCCTGGTGGTGGATTTAAACTATTTACAGCTTGTTCAACATCTCTAAACATAAAAACATATTTGATATATTTTTTAAAAATATATATATATTTTTAAAGATTTAAAATAATACCTTAAATTCACATTAACAGTTGTTAATAGTTCTTGCAATTCAAGCAAATATTTATTTTCTTTATTTTCTTCTCCATGATCAGCACGTAATCCATTTCCCAAAGAATCAAATACTTGACCAACACTTGAACGTAAAACTTTAATTGCTGTCAATGCAGTCTGTAACTGTTGTTGTTGTTGTTGTTGTTCCATTGTTTACAATTCTTAACATTTATATAAATAAAATATTACTTTAATTATACATTTCATTATAATTATATATTTATTACAATATATTTAAATATAATTTGCTTAATATATTTAATTATAATAAAGCTTTTACATGATAAAATACATTAAAATGTAATAACAACTTAATTTTTTAAAAGTTATTATGTCTAACTTTATATATAAATATTTTAAATATTTTAAACTTATAAATAGAATTTTATTATATATAAATTATCTTACTTTATAATAAGACATTTTTGAATTTTTATTAAATATGTACTAAATTAAAAATTATTATAAAAATAATTTATAAAACTTACCCCGATTATTGTACGTACAATCTTATAAACAAAGGCAATAACAACAAAGTCACAAAAGCCGACATTTTTAAACGTCGTACCATAAACGATATACAATATAGATACAAATAATATTATTATAATAATAATAATAATAATATTACTATTATTATTATTAAGATTTTTCAAATAAATATTTCCTTGTAATATTTTATTGATATATATATATATATATAAATAAAAATGTTGATTTTATAAATATATATATATGAAGTTATTCATAATCATTTTATAAATCATTCATACATTATTTCATAAAAAAATTTTATAAATTTATTAAATTTATTTATAAATAATTTATAATATATACATTCTAATTTTAAATAATTATATAATAATAACAAGAAAAGAATATTTATTTTATAATTTCTATTATTTTCTTCTTTTTTAAGAAAAAATAAAGATTGACATTTTATAATGCTTTAATATAATAACAAAAATTATATATATTTTACTTTAAACCATTATTTATTAATTTATTTTCACATATATTTTATTTAAAAACGCATGCGCTAATATGACAGATAAAAATTTGAGGTTGGAACAATATAGAAATAACTGTCATTTTTTGTAATTATTTTAATGTATATTTTGTAATATATAAAAATTTGATATTAAAAAATGATGTCTGAAAGAGATTATGCACCTCTTAGTCCTGCTTGTGTACGTTCTCTTAATGACAAACTTTACGAAAAACGAAAAGCAGCAGCCTTGGAAATAGAAAAGTAAGGTTATATATTTTGTTTATCCATGTTTCTACATTTATTTGTATTGTATTTTTTATTTGGGATATTTATTAATTATATTTTATTTTAGAATGGTAAAAGAATTTGCTGCACACAATAATACTGTTCAAATTAAACGATTGTTAAAAGTGTTAGGTCAAGATCTTGCTACATCACAAAATCCACATACACGAAAAGGTGGTTTGATAGGTTTAGCAGCAATAGCAGTAGGATTGGGAAAAGATACTGGTCAATATATAGAAGATTTAATTCATCCTATTCTAGCTTGTTTCTGTGATTCTGATTTACGTGTAAGATATTATGCTTGTGAAAGTTTATATAATGTAGTAAAAGTAGCAAGAGGAGCTGTATTGCCACAGTTTACAGATATTTTTGCAGCACTTAGTAAATTAGCATGTGATTCAGAACAATCAGTGAAAAATGCTACTGAGTTACTTGACAGACTAATGAAGGTAATTAAAATTTATAAGAAAGAAATATATATAATATGAAGATATTTTTATTAAAAACTATTTCAGGATATTGTAACAGAAAGTGGTTTATTTGATTTAGTTGGATTTATGCCTTTATTGCGAGAACGTATTTATACTAAAAGTCCATTTGGTAGGCAATTTGTAATAGCATGGGTATCAGTTTTAGATGCTGTTCCTAATATGGATTTTATTATATTTCTACCTGAAATTCTTGATGGTTTATTTAGAATATTAGAAGATCCAACACAAGAAATTAAAAAAGTTACAGACACAGTTCTTGGTGAATTTTTGAGAAGTATAAAAGCTAATCCTGGAAGAGTAGATTTTCCTGGAATGATAAATATTTTAATTACACATGCTCAAAGTACAGATGAATTATTACAATTAACAGCAATTACATGGATTAAGGAATTTGTACATTTATCAGGTCCTCTAATGCTTCCTTATATGTCTGGTATTCTTATAGCAGTATTACCCTGTTTAGCATATGATGGAGATACCAGAAAAAGTATTAAAGAAACTGCAACACAAGTCAATATAAATTTGATGAAATTGATAACAATGAAGAATAAAGAAATTGTAAATAGTGTTAGTGAAACTAATATTCAATCTCAAAAAGGTAAAATTATAGATTTTTAAAATTAGAATATTTAAATAATGGTAATGGTCATAAAAAGAATTGTTTTTTTTTTAGATTCTAGTCAATCTTGTTCCTTAGCTGAAAGTTTAGATTTATCTAGTGTTGTCGAAGTGTTAACAAAATATTTAATGTGCATGTCAGTCCAAACAAAAGTTGCTGTTTTAAAGTGGATTCATCATTTATTCACCAACATTCCACATAAAATGTTTAATCATATTGAAAATTTATTTCCAATTTTAATGAAATCTTTAAGTGATAATTCAGATGAAGTAGTACAACAAACATTAGTTGTAATGGCCGAAATAATTAGTTCAAAATCACCTGAAGCAGCAATTACAGATTCAAATGCAAAAATGCAAAATAAGTATTTTACAAAATTTATTGTAAATTATTAAGAATATTTTCAGCAGACAGACATTTATTAGAAGAAAGAGGAGCTTTTATCATTAGAGAATTATGTGTTTTATTAAGTGCTGAAGATATTTATAAAACATTAGCAAAAATATTGTTGGAGGAACCAAATTTAAGTTTTGCATGTACAATGATACAAACTTTAAATGTTATACTATTAACAAGTTCAGAATTATTTGATTTACGCAATAAACTTAAAGACTTAGATTCTTTAGTGAGTATTCTTTATATTTTTTATTTATATTTAATTATTATTTTAAATTGTGTATATTATTATAGGAAAGTTGCGAATTATTTAAATGTTTATATATATCTTGGTGTCACAATCCTGTTGCAACTGTAGCATTATGTTTTTTATCACAACATTATGAACATGCATGTAACATTATTCGATCATTGTATCCTTTATTATTGTGAATAATTAATACATATTCTTTTTTTTTTTAATTAAATTTTTATAATCCAATATTACTTAACTAAAATCAAAAAACAGTGAAAACATAGAAGTAACCGTGGAATTTCTTACTGAAATAGACAAATTAGTACAATTAATCGAATCTCCAATTTTTACTTGTAAGTATATTAAATTCTTATTATAATTAATTATATTTACAGAAAAATAATGCATTTTAGACTTGAGGTTACAGCTTTTAGAAAGAGAAGAAAATGATGCTTTAGTATATGCACTTTATGGTCTACTCATGATTCTTCCTCAAAGTGAAGCATATGCAACTTTACAAAGACGTTTAGCAGCAATACCACCAACAACAAAATCTATACCAAGAACAGTATCGAATCCAAAATCTTTTAAAGACATATTTGATTTTTCTGAATTATTAAAACATTTTCACACTATTCAAGAACAGCATAAAGAGCAGAAACGTAAACAACGATTAACAAATTTAACAGAAAAAAATACAAATCATGCAGATATATAAATAACATTTTTATAATATTAAATTTTAGATAATTATAAATAATAATTTAAAAATTGGTGTATATATAAATATACACACATACAACATATAAACATACTTTTAAACTTTTTTATCATATTAACGTACTTATCAAAAAGAATTCATGCATTTATAATATCTTTTCTTTTATCACAAAATTATTAAATATTATAAAATCAATTATTAAATTATTTTTCCATAATATTTAATATATATTATAATTAACATTAATATATTTATTAGCTTTGTATATACAAATACATGAAGATATTAAATAGATTAAATATATCGCTATTTACAATATATTGGAATTCATATCATCTTTTTTAAAAAGAAAAGAAAAAAATATACTTTTTATATATAAAATTTTTTAAAATATTTTTTTTTATTTGATAAGTAAAACTATAATTTTAAAACGCATGAAATACGTTATTTAATAATATAATTCAAGGGGAATTTTATTTTTTTCTATATTTAATGTAAATATATTGTCAGTCTTTTTCTCATTAAAAAAATAATAAAAATTAAGAAAAATTTTGCTAGAGCGATGTATATTCTGAGTCATCTGTATCTTCTAAACTGTCGAGAGTTGATAAACGATCAAGTTGATCTATAAGTAAACCATTTTTATATAGAATCATTGCAATTTGTTCTTGCATAACACAAATATTTTTCCATTTTTTTGTACTTTCTTGAGCAGGTGAATTAGTTTTTTCAATAGTTTTTAATTTCTCTGGAAATCTGTCTATTAAATGTACAAAATTCTCGTATCGTTCTTTGCTTTCGTGCGATAAACGATAAGAAAATGTCTCTAATATATGTTCATAATTATCTACATCTTTGTCTAAAATTTGAGTTTGTAAGAAAACCGTTTGTGCCATTTTGTACCAATCAGCAACACATTCAGATCGACTTATCATAGAAGGAATACAAAATGTTTCAAGAAGATTCTTTATTCTTTGACCTGTGGATGTAACCTGAGAATAAGTAAAAAATTTAAAATAAATATTATTTTGTCATTGTCTTATTTTCTTATTTATATACTTATATACTTCTTACTTATATATTTATTTTAAAAAAATACCTTTATTCGTTCTAGAACATGAAATTGTTCATCATTGTATGTAAGACCACGAGTAGCTCTATCTCTCAATAAATGTTGCCAACCATCTCGTAAACGGTCGACTAAAGTGGCAGCTTTTTGACTTGCTTTGTTAAACCATGGACACCACAATCCACGAATAATATTATCCCATTCACCACGTAAACTGCCTTCTTTTACATATCTATGTTTGAAATGATATATAAAATGAATATATTTTTATTATATGAATTAAAAGAATTAAAAGAATTAAAAGAATAGGTAATAATAAAATTTAATTACCTCTGATGAAGTTGTACTACTGCAGGAGCTAATTCAGTTAAAAGTTCTTTACTTTTTATATCTAATTCCTTTTTCCAATTTTTTATTTCTAAGGTGTTCTGCCTTCCAAGTTTTCTAGAAACTTGCCAAGCAAGATTTTCACTTCTTTCTATTGCTATAGTTGTATCTTCTACAGCTTTTGTAAATTCTTTGGAATGTTGACATTTTTCTAATAATCTTGTAAGTTCTGTTGAGACAAGTCCACTAAAAGCTTCTATTGCATCCTGTGATAATTTACTACATAATACTAATTTATCAATTCTTCTTTTACAGACATAACCAACAGAACAAGCTACTTTTGCTTGACTAGCATCATTTTCAACAGATACTAAATTTGCAAATACTGGGAATTTAGGTAATTCTGTATCCACGGGTAAATCAACATTATTATTTTCTTTGGAAAATAACATTAATGGCTTGTTTTCTGATGTATTTGGATAACCTTTTCCAGGAGTAGATTCTTCTATAATATTTGTTAAAAATGTATCTCCAAAAAGAAGTATCTGAGCATGAGGTGCAATATCAGTTTGATCTTGTATATGTACTTGTAGTGCTGTCAATTTTTCTTCAGGATGCAAGAATACTTTTATGAGACTACCTTTATGTATATTAAATATATGTATACGTTTTCTACAAAGAGTATCTGTTACTTCTGAAAAAAATCTTTCAAAACTCCATATTTTTTGAGGATCAACTTCTAATAAACCAGCTAATAATGGAGTTACAATTTTTTTTAAACCAGTACTCAATTGACAATTTTGTGGTAATTCTCTATTCCATTCAATAGGTCCATTTTCAGAAGTTTGTACACCTGATATAACACCAGAAGCTTTTTTTGTAATAATATAAAACATTGTTTCTTTATTTCTCCGTCCACCAAATGGTCTAAATGGTAAGTTTCCTGTAGCTACATGATATAATGTTACACCTATAGACCATAAGTCTACAGTTGCTCCAAATGTTTTGCCCACAGGTTTACGTAAAACTGCTCTTTCATATATATCTGGATGTAAATATTCTTCTGTACCATACAGAGAAACAAACTGTTGATCTTCTTGTAATTCTCTAGCAGCACCAAAGTCAGTAAGTTTATAAATTGTACTACCATCATCCGCAATGAATTTCATTATATTACCTACAAGAATAATTATGATTTTATTTAAAAAGATGTATAATATGTATAATTATATATATTTTTAATTTCTTACCTGGTTTTAAATCTCTATGTACTAAATTATTATCACGTAAATGTTTCATTCCAGCAGTTAAGTGTTCTAACACTAACAAAAATTCACTTTCTGCTAATCCATAAGTATTTTCTGGATCATCTAAAATATTAAAAAGACTACCCCCAGTACATAGTTCCATAACAATCACTGTACCACGACCATCTTGTTCTTCCTCAATTGCTAACAATTGAACAATATTTTCATGATTTACTTTTTTAAGAACTTCAAATTCTCGCATTTGTACATCATGTGGTCGCATATGACTCAGCTGATTGAATGTTTTAACTGCAACTGGTTCTCCATTATTTTTATTTACTCCTTGAAAAACTGCTCCAGTTGCACCTTTACCAAGAACACTAGTCGTACACCATACAAAATTCGTTGATCCACGTAAAAAAGACATTTTCTTAAACTCTTAAAAGTTTATACAAGATTTGGAAGTTTGACAAATAGATTAACCTCTTTTCAAATTTTAAATACTATTTCTGTATATATTTATATGTTTTACATTATACATATCATGAACAATTAACTATATATATACTTCATTACTAAGAAAAAAAACGTAATATATAATACAGATAGAAGTATAGAATAAAATCTAATCAATGCATTTTTTCTTCTTTGAATTCTTCGAAAACACTAGGATTCTCTTACCATTTTAATATCATTTTCAATGTTACCGACTTAGAACAAGATTATAATTTCTTTGTATTCATGCGTCAAGAATAGTATAAAGAGCAGATAAGATAGAAAAGGATAGAGATAGAATAAAAATTGTGAAATCAGCGCCATCTTCAGAGTGCCGTAAATTAAACTAATATAATAAAGACAACAAATAAAAGAAGAAGGATAGAAATAGGATAAGAATTGATCGCTATCGCCATCTCTGAATGACAAAAGTATCTAAAAAAAATCGTTTTTCTAAAATTACTCAAGAGATGGTGCTGGTCTTCAATTTTTATTCTACCTTATCTTATTTTTCAAGAAATATCTTTGATATTCAAGAGATGGCGCTAGTTGTTAATTCTTATCGTATTCTATCCTTCTTTATTAATTTTTTTTTCTACATTAGTTTCATTTGCGGCATTCTGAAGATGGCGCTGATTCCATCTATTCCAATTTTAAATTTTTAGCAAATTTAAACATTTAATTTTATATTAGAAGAATATAATTGAATAAAAAATGATAGTGAAATTTTTCTAAAAATTCTTAAGCTAAAATTTTTGTCTAAATTCTCGATTTTCTAGAAAAATACTAGAAAACTAAGAAAAATATAAAGAAAATATGTAAAATTTGTCTAGATCTAGTTTATCGCAGCTATTTTTTGGGTTTTGAATTATTTTTTTCGACATTTTTCTTAATTTTAATGATACTTACTTTTTGTATTTTTATCGCTTACAATAAAAATTGTCATATTTTTACAATATTAGATGTTTTTTGAATTTTTTCATTCTGGAGAATTCAATAATATGAAATGTCTCGCATAACTTTATATATAATATCTCATTCATGATATTAAAAAAATACTTTGAACAAAAGTTGAATAATTTCAAAAAGCCTATTCTGATATAAATTTTTGTGTAATTAAATACATAAAGAACTTGTGAACTTTTAATTTTATATTTTTAAATAGAATTATATATTTTTTAACATATGAATCAATATATCTAAATATTTTCTATAAAAAACTATTAGGTAAATCGAAAAATTATTTATTAAAATAATCAGTAATAATTAAATATTTCTTAAATTAATAAATTTTTACTATAAATGATCATGATTTTCATTAATGATAATGCATTTTTGCCAGATTTCGCAATGATTGAGCACAAAACAAATAAAAATTAATATTGATATTAAGTATTCAGAAAATTGATTGATCAAGAAATAAATACTTATGTATACTTATATAAATATACACAATTATATTTTTTATATTCATATATATATCATATAACTTAGATAACCCGAATGATAACCCATAATAAAGGGACATTGAAAAGAAGAGATAATACTAAATATTGAATCATTTAACCACTATAATTGCAGTATTAAGAGTATTATAATCAAAAACTATATATAATTTCTATATAAAATTTTAAAATAAATTACATTTCAACATAAAATGCAAATATATATATATATATGTGTGTATACTATAAATATAATGTTATTATTTATATAATAAAAATAATCTTATATAAAATCTTATAATAAAAATATCATAAATATCTTTGTTTTTTTTATGTTATAAAAAGAATCATATGATATATTAACAAAAGTGTTAAAAATTATGATTATGATTATGATGGAGAAAATTCTTTAAGAATTCATTATTTATAATCTACATTGAAGAAATGAATAGCTGAAAGAATAGCAAAATTA